GCGTCGGCACTCACCTGCGGCGAGTGTCAGCGCAGCTGACTTAGCTTAATAAGCTAAGCCTTGGCACGGATAGTAAGCCCGTTGATGTACCCCTATGACATAACAACGCGTCGCCCTTGTGGTTGAAGTAGCTCGGTGTGCAAGCGAACAAGACCGAGTACTACACCGCTCGACTGTCCCTTCATCTATCCAAGCATCCTCTACTTCTCTAGTCGGCTTGGTCACAAGCTGTGTAGGATCTGGAAGCCGATCCACGGCCTCTTTTAAGATATTGGCCATGTACTTAGATTTCAAGTCAAATATGATAGTGAGATTTATTGAGCCCGGTCCGCCACCGAGACCAGGACAGAGAAGGCTGGGGAGAGAGGCCATTCGTGGCGATCCCACGCAGAATACCCATATTTGTCTTTGAGATGGCGGCCGCTACGGCCCGCAATAGGTATGCCAAAGAGCTCAGCAGGCGCTATGTTTCCCCCTAATGCCAGCAGGAAGCCCGTGGCAAGAATCAGCACGTTAAGCTCGTACTCCACCCCCTTAGCGATTACCCCCCACGATATACACCGCTCGATGCCCTTGCTATCCGTGTTCACGAGCGTGACATGCGGCTGGTTGAAAGTAGGCAGGTACTCATCCTGAAAGGTGGGTCTCTTACACCACATGAGGCAAAACGGTTGTACGTACTTGGTTGCTCCACCGTGGCTGCATCCTCCACTACGGCCTCTCGTACCCGTGCCCACGTGTGCTCCGCCAGCGGCGTTTATAACTCATATAGAGTATGCGCGCCCTCTTTTACATCTTTTGAGTGTAACGTGACGCGGCCCCGCGATGAAGCCCAAAAAGCCGCGCGCCATCTTAGTCCAGCCATCGGCGACCAGATCGGGATGGTCTGCCGAGTCTTCTTCACCGTTAAAGAGAGTATCGAAGTTGAGTTGGCGAGCAAACTGCCAGACAGGGCCTGTTGCGACCTCGCTCACCCACTTGTCGTCATCTATGGCCTGCTGGCGACGCGCAATACGAGGGTGTGCGCTGGAATACGTACAAGGATTCGGCCCAGCATGCAACTTATGGCACGACTTGGACAGCTGTTGCCGCCGTACCCATGATGCCGACTCACTTGCCGTTGAGCTTTGAGAGAGTAGCGTCTGTCTGTGAGCCGCCAGTGCAGTCATAGTCTCAGCGCGCCGTGTGAAAGACGGGGATGTTCACGCGTAGCTCGTCGAAGCCATCGACATTAGGCATTCTCGGTGATGCGAAGAGGGTTCCAGTCGGAACCAGAAACGGGGTAAAGACGGCCATTTCTTCGCTGTTACCGTGCTTCTTGCACATTCAAACTGCCCACCAACGCCGGCCATCGTTGCATGTCGCACCGAGTACACGTGTCGAAGATTGGCCGCCCAGTCCAAAGTGCGATGCCACGCGTTCCCAATGTCGACAGATCTCATCGCTTGACGAACACTTCTGTAGGGATTTGAAGCTTGTTTCCTCGGGGAAAGATATGCAAATGCAGCCCTCAACATCACATTGTAGGCCTGGATGCCGGTCCCGATACTTTGTACCACCGCAACTGCCGGCTATGTCCAAGTGGCATATTGGATTTTCTGAGGAGCCTACCTCTAACAACCTTTCTCCTGCGAGCAGCTTCGCATGCCCTGTAACAATGATAAGAAGCTAAATGTCGTCAGCGTCCTTGAGCCGGTCCGCTTCTTGCTGCTGGCCTTTGTGAATCTATAGGTCATGGGCGAATGGCCTTTCTTGTTTGATGAGTAAATGGCTGTGCTATTGCATGCTCTCATGGCGCTATCGCTTGTCGTGCTGCTACTTGTATCTGGCCTGGAGTTTGGCAGGATCAGTGATGGCCATCTTTGCTCTCCGTTTGTTCCTCTACCGATAGAGAATTTGGCCTGGAACAATATGGGAGCGGAGCAACGATTCGTGAAACCCTGTTACTGAAGTGATAGAATTTGCCTCCATTCGATTGAAAATACGAGCTTTTTGTCATGCCGTTGCTTCCCACATTTTACATGCACTGGATCAGCTACCTCCTCTTTCTCGATCGCTTTTTCCCTCCCTTCATCCGAATTGGCTCCCCAAATTACCAATCAATCCCTATATGATTTTGAGATGATGAGTTGTCGGACCCTGGGGTTGCGAAAAGAATGAGCCGTGATTCATGTGGAGGTGTGGGGTAGAAGTGCGGTAGATTTGACGACCATCACGTGATTCCACAAATTTGTGAGCCCAACGTCTCATCGCCAAACATACATGCTCACGGCGATCTTGAATAAAATTTGCCTGAGAGTACTACCCTTACCAATGTACAGAGCATTCATTGTGATGGTTAGGAAGATGACACGATGCAAAAAGAGAGCACCCACGTGACAAGCTTTTGGGCACGCGCAGGTACCCATATCTTTTCATGAGTCCCAGGATCAACAAGTATCATTCACTTCAATAAAATGGGCTTGCGTACTGAAAATCTATGATCATCTGTTACTTTATGCGTTGCAGTTGATTTTATTAGATATTAGATGTATATCCGCAAGTGCAACTTCGAAACTTTAACACATTCTTGACGTCGCAAGCTACTGGAGACAATGAATGAATTCTACTTCGTTAGATGCTCAATTGAAGTTCAGAATTATTCAATAGAGCTGATTCTTAGTCAAGTATAACTTAGGTTCCCCCAGTCTCTGTCCTGCTCTCCATTACAGCTATAGCTACGAATGTTTAGAATGAAGACATCTCTAATTCATCACTGTATCATCAGCTAAAACATTGTCCCTGAATTTATCTTGTCTAAGTATCCTACCCTCACCCAGGAAAGGTTCATCGTGCTAGCCTGTGGTGCTTTCCCTTATCTAAGTGCTCGTTCCAACACATAATCAAGAATGTGAACAATACCATCGTTATTGAGATCAAGCCGTAACCTTTTAAATCATCCACTAAAAGTGAATTATCAAGGCGGGTAGTGAATCTTGATCGCTCTCGGCCGAGCCGCAATTGGATATTTCCTTTGCACTATTTGGTGGAGAGCATTGGTCTCTTGGGTTACAGTCTTCAAACATGTCCAGCAGCAGCTAGTGAAAAATATTTGAATCATTGGTGGTCAATATCATTACACAAGGCTAGGTGTTGCTAAACAGTCTTTGAAGGGTACATCTGCCCATCGAAGATGAATTGTGACAATAGTTTCGAGAGCTTAAATGTATTCACCCCTTCTCGCAACTTTTCTCGTATGAACACACGTACTTGTTGCAATGATGAAAAGTGCTGTGTAGCGATAGAACCGCGACCTTCCTCAATAACGATGAATACCTAGCCTGCCGCAAATCTACTCAAACTTCTCAGCTTCTCACCAAACTTCCACAGCATAAATGGCGCCGGGACACCTAGTCCTATTGCAATGAAGCCAAGTACACTGTTCCCCCATCCAAATTCTAGCGACTTATACATAGCTGGTGCGAATAACGGGAAGCCAAATCCGGCCAGACTCCTTAAGACTGTCGCTGCAGCAATGGCACTCGCTGCATACCGCGTGTAAGAGTCAATTAAATATCCATTGGCACATTGAAACGCCATCACCATGCCCGCAGAAAAGATCGCAGCGCCAAAATTAGGCATGATCCAATGCATGCGGGCTTGCGCGCTCCATCCGTACCAGAAGAGACCTACAGGGATCAAAAGCGATCCAGGTATCAACATAGGGACGCGAAATTCAGGCCTTGCGATGCCGTTATTGCGGAACTTCAGACGGCAATACAGCGCGTCGATAAGAGGTGAAGTAAGTTGTGTACCGACAAAGAATCCAATACCTATGGAGAGATAATTCAAAGATCCGGAGCTGATAGACATGCCATAACGATCAACCCATAAGATGGGGAAAGTGGAAAGCATGAGATACATCAGCCCGAAGAGATAGGCCGTGTAGCATGCTAGTACTTGGACTATGGGTTGCGTGCCTAGCAGCTTGAATGGCCTCTTCAACGCCGTTTGGATCACTGTTACAACAGTGCGATCACAATTGTCGAATACAGTGTGAAGTTCTTGGTTACCAGTTTCTTTGCGTAGCTGATCTCGCTTCAACTCGAGAAGCCTAGGCGCATAGGTTTCTTGGAGGAAGAAAAATCCACAAAATTGCACCAATGCGGCGAAGATTGTTGTTGCGTGGAAACACCATCGCCCTGAGTCCATAAGCATACGTGAATCAATTGAATCAAATCTACGCAGAGACTGACATGAAGTGTTCTGGGAGATGAAGCCACCAAGAATAGGTCCAATGGCTGGTCCGAGCAGTGGCCCCAGCGAATATATTGATACTGCTCGTCCACGCTGTTCAGGAAGGAAGCAATCGCTTAACATACCCTAAAACCTGGTTAGACATTCATGCTGCGGGGAAACTCCTCAGGAATCACACTTACCCCACCGATGGCTAGCGGTGCGGATCCGCCTAGACCGCTAAAGAAACGACACACCATCAGTTGTGCTGGAGTCTGAGCAAAACCGCATCCCAGATTCCAAACAACAAAGAACAAATTAGAGAACTGTAGCACAATTGTTCGTCCATAGGTCTCCGAAAGTGGCCCAAGACACAGTGGGCCGATGGCTTGTGCAAGGACGAAGATAGACAGCGTGAGTTGCGATTGCACTGCACTTTTGATCCGGAAATCAGCGCTTATATGGCTAAGAGCGGGGGCAATCATGGAAGAAGTAATAGGCGATACTATAGTAAAGCAGGCCACAATGGTCAACGCGGCCCATTTTCGTTTCATGGACCCTAAGGAAGAATTAGTACACAAAAGTTCATGCTAATGTGACGAAGTAGTGGTTTTTACAGTTCTTTGGGTTTTTCGGATCATTAGCAGAATCCCATGTCACCTATATTGTGCTTAGTAGATGTTGTATTTCGGGGATGCTGAAGCCGACACATACTAAGTTGGGATCCTTTATAGGAATTGCGGGCTTTTCTTCCAATATCTGAGATGCTTTGCTGTCGTCTTTGGGCGGTATGAGTCCCTTGGGCTCTTCATGAGACAATTGCTGATCGAATTTTCCTTCATCTTTGCTTGATTTCTGGTGGTTAAAATCCGGACCATCCGAGAGTCGTTCTGGGGATATCCCGTGTAACAGCGTATCGCTTGATTTGTGCGATGGTGTGTTGGATTTGACCGAGGAATTTTTCAAATTGTTCAATTCACTGGAAGTTTCCATGGATGTTTAGATAGCGGACAATACTCAAGGTTGCCAATCTTCATAGATTTGCTTATTGCGAAGGATTCATCGCCTGTAAACCTAAAATAAAGAATAGCAATCATTAGAATGTATTTTTCCTTTTAATGAAACGACGATTAGATTGGAGCCCACGTGCTTGTGATCGAACGTTCATTGCACAGATCAGACATCTGTGCACCCTACAGCTTGGGCAAGTAATCCGGCCAAAATTTCGGCACTTCGGGCTAGATTATACCCCGAGACTTCTACTACTGCATAACAGCTTGCAAGCTATAGACATGCGATAAGAGTATCAAAGAAAAGTTGTAGTGTATAGGGTTATTTGTGTGGTGATAAACGACAGCTGCGCCAGTGTATGAATACTTACACCAAGGCACTGGGCCTAAACAGGCGGCACCTACGTATATCATGGACTGAAATCGGAGAAAATCTAATCATTGAATACTGAATCTTTGTTCACAACACAAATAACTCATGATCACTTCAACATATTGGGTTTACATACATGTAGTACTGATCATCTCCCTGTTTCCTGAGTACCGATATTCCCACTGACGAAGACAACTAGCACTGCAGCGTACCCAGCTGTCGCAGCAAAAACCTCTGATCTTCTTGAATTTGTCAAAATTCCTACATTGGCTGCAAAAAGGGCAGTAAAGAGAGCAATAACACCCAACTTTGATTTCTCGGAGGATATCGCGTAGAGCGTTACTATAGCCCCTACAAGCAGCGCAGCAGCGTTCAAGGTACACAGAATAGTCACAGTCCGAGCTATCCGCTGATCCGATGAATATAGAATGCCATCTCTATCTTTCTCCACTTTGAAAATCCTTGAGCAGTGATCTTGCAGAAACGCAGTCAGCCGATCGCGGTCTTGTACTTTCAACACTACCAGGTCGTCATCGTCGTCGAACAACGCCCTACTATGTGCACCCAGAGTCGGATATGGCTTTCCGCTTCCATAATTGAAGAACTTGAAACGAAATGCCTCAAGTGTTCGTTTTGGCGGTCTGGGAAGCGATGCCAACTGGCTTTCGTATAGCAGAGCCTCTCCTTTCACAATGTATTAGTTCGAAATTGCTACAGCATTCATTCTATTTACTTACGATACTCTTTGAGTGTTTGACCTATCTCATCACTCAGCTCCTTCCGTCTCTTCTGATGAGGATCGTTGACGGTTGCTGCTGTGAACTCGGCCCAGTTACGTGAGTACTGCTTTACTTCTAGAGGGCCCAAGGCATCTTTGCGGTCGAGCGCATCTTGTTCGGCTTGCAACTCGGCAAGCTGACTCTGAAGATGTAACAAGTGTCGTGCGGCTAAACGGTTGAACCTCTTGAAGATTGTTGTTGTCTGATCGCGATCACTGGCAATGAAAGCTGCCAGTGAAGGATACCCTGAGAGGAAAGACTGGTCGGTCGTCCCTTTTTCGATGTCCATGTCGATACAATATTGCAGCTTGTATCTTTATGCAACTGATACTGATTGGAGAGAGTTTTCTCACCGGATCTCTTGGCATTCAGCCTCGGTCTGTCTTGTGATTTAGAACTGCATGCTGCAAGGCTATGCACATCTTATCTGCAGCCACTCAGTCATTTTGACCATGGTTGAGATACCTGATTGGTCCTTCAAGTTATTGAATGCAGTGTCGCTGCATTGAGCATACGCTAGGAAAAGACACGCAAGACCCGGGTATTTTCTTCGCGAGATTGACGCTCTCAATCCTCCTTCTCACCCTACACTGCAATCTCATTATCATCTCTTTTTTCATGGCCTATCAATTCTGAGAATTACACTCCTTTTGCATCATCAGATACAAAATCCAAGATGTGTTTTTACGATCAGTATCGATTCGATTGTGGCCACTGGAAATGGGGGCATTTCCGACAGCAATGCGCTAAAGAATATCGAATCGGCGAGACTTGCGGCATGAAGCTTGTAATGCGTACTGTTTCTGTCAAGGATCAATGCAAACTATGTCAGAAGATAGTGAAGAAGATGAGGGAACGAACAAGTGCACTAGAGTGCATTGCTCGATGGGAAAAAGAGGGGCCAAAACTCTGCGCGTCGATCGACAAAGAAACAGAGCATGTCAGAACACTGG